TCCCTCCCGCCGCAGGACCAGCTCCGCTTCCCGCGCATGCTGATGAAGCTCGTGAGCCTGCGCACGCTGAGCTCCGTGCACTCCGAGCAGGTCTTCGCCCTGCGGCTTCAGGACAAGAAGCTGCCGCCTCTGCTCTCGGAGATCTGGGACGTCCACGAGTAGCCTTGCCGACACCCTTCCACGGAGTGACGCTGTCACCCTTCTTCCGCGAGGGCGGGAAGGGCACGGGCCTGGCCCGTCGGTCCCGCCTTGCGGCCTTCAGGATGTCTTGGGGCCCAGGAGTCGCCTTTCCCGCCCAGAGTCTTCCCGGAAGGGTGGCGGGGCCTGAGTCCTGAGACCTGACCCCTACCTCTCCAGCTCCGTCCCTCCCCGCTTACACCTGCTGCACACAGTGCACCTTGGGCAGGGGGAGGGTGCTGGGACCCCACCTGGAGGCCTCGAGAGCCCTCATCCTCTGCTCCTTTTATTTAATAAAAACTAAAAACAAGCAACTAAGGGCACAAGCCAGCCCTGAGCCAGAGCACGAGAAGTGAAGAGGGCTTCCCGGGTCTTCACTGCCGCCGGCTCCCCAGGCTGACAGGGTGGCCGGCCCTGTAGTCCCTGGCTGCCGCTGTCAGTCCCCGTGTAGCGCAAGCTGAACGGACGGCGCCCAGGGAGCAGAGGCCCCTGTGGGCGGCCCTTACCGGCCTTACTCTGGACCCATGGTTCTTGTCCCTTAAGCGTTGGAGGGGCGATTGTTTCCTTTGGGGTTAGGCACTGGGACCCGCAGTGGACAAGAAAATAAAGGTCTTCCTCCTAGCCCGCTGCCGGACAGAGGGACGTGGGTGGGACTGGAGGGAAGTAGGAGAGGGCCTTGGAGGAGGCGGCCCAGGGCCGAGTGGAGCTGAACCAGGAAGGGGAGGCGCTCACCGGCGGCCGTGGGCGCCAGGGGCTGGGCCTGATCGTAGGGTCCCGCCCACGCACGCAGCCTGGCGGGGTTGCCCGGGCCCATCGCGATGGCCTCTCAGTCCTACGGGTCCGGAGGGAACTGGGTGTGAGGGAGAGCGGGCGCCGCAGAGATGGGAGTTTCAAGGGATCACCCTTTCCACTGCGTCCAGTTTACAGGCTGGGAGTTCCGTAACGGCCAACATCTGTGGGAAGGGCTGGCGTTAGGCCGGGAAGTGTCCCTGACACCGTGTCCGTGGGTGGGCCCCAGGCTCGGAGCAGCAGAACCGGAGGGGAGGGATCCGACAGCGCGAGACTGCGAAGGCGGGGCGGGGGCGGGGCGTGGGCTCAACGCACGCGGTGGGCAAGGGGCG